CTTCTCTTCTCTTCTCTTCTCTTCTCTTCTCTTCTCTTCTCTTTCTTCCTCTTCCTCCTCCATCTTCCTTTCTTCCTTTGCCTTCTCTTCTTTTCCTCCTCCTTCTCCTCCTCTTTTCTCCTCCTTCTCTTCTTCCACTTACTCCTCCTCCCTTCCTCTCCCTCTTTTCTCCTCCTCTTTCTTCCCTTCTTCCTCTTCCTCTTTTCTCCTCTTCTTCTTCCCTTCCTCCTCCTCCTCTTCCACACAGAAAATCTTGTTGGTCCCATGAGCTGCAGATAGAACTGGACAAGCAGAAAATTCAGCAACCTTTTAACAAAACCCAAACGCTGCTTTTTTCAGCCCTCCTTTGGGATGTCATGGTGGAGAGCTGCAGGAAAACACTAGGACCGGTGCCTCGGTTTCCATCTGGAGGCCTTCGAAACACAAAACACAACAACAACAACAACAACAACATGGGAATTGTAGAACGGCAATCTTTAAATTATATCCCCAAAAAGATGCTCTGAGCATATATCATTGCATTATAAAGAGCTTTGGCAGTTTTATTGATGATGTTGAATCTGGCTGACAGATGCATTTACACCAGATAAGTATTGGAAATGCTGGCGTAATTGCTTATTAGTCTCGTCGCGAGGCAAAACAGCAGATTGAAATGAATAGGAAGGCGCACGAACACAAGAATTTTGCTGCCTTTGTGGTTTTTGTTTTTCCTCCTCCCCCCCCCCCCCCCCTGCAAGCTTGCCATCTGCTAAGCATCTGGGAATTTCAAAACAAATAAATAAATAAATCAAAAATCCACATCATGCGCAGGTGGGGATTATGGATGACACACAGACCCAGAGGTTCACAACAACACAAAATGAAACTTCAACCACAATTTGGTGGAGACTTCAAGGACATTAACCTTGTATCGGGTTGTGGCCTTTCGGAAATATAGGGCCAAAGTCCAGTTGGTGTTGGATGGACATGCATGGAAAAGGTTGAATATTTTTGTTGGATGTGGACAAGGCTGAGGAATTGGAGGGGTGCACCCTTGTGCATCGTTGTGTAACGTACAAGGATGTGCAAGTGCATTGCTGATGGATATTCATCCATGCCATGCATGGGCATGCATTACATATCCATGTTGCTTCTTCTTGTTGTTGCCCTAGGGAAAGACAATGACACAAACCTCTGAAGAATTGGAGTGATGCACTCTGGTGAATAGTGTAATGTACAAGGATGTGCAAGTGCATTGCAGATGGACATTCATCCATGCAATGCATGGGCATGCACATTACATATCCATGTTGCTTGTTGTTGTTGGCTCAGGGAAAAGCAACCACAAACTTCTGAACAACTCTTGGCAAGAAAACCCCATGCTAGAATCGCTGTAAGTGGCGAGAACTTGAAAGCACACAATGACAACAAACAACATGAGTGTAATGTGCATGCACAGTGCATATCTGTGCATTGCATTGATGAATATTCATCTCCAATGCACTTGTGCATCCCTGTACATTACACAACTATGCACCAGGGTTGCACATGCACCTTATACATAGTTGTGTAAGATGCAAGATGTGCAAGTGCATTACAGATGGACATTCGTCCATGCAATGCATGGGCATGCACTGTGCATTCCCATTATCAATTCAAGTTGTTTGTTGTTGTTGGCTCAGGGGATGACAATAACAAACCTCCTCTGAACAAACCTTGCCAAGAAAACCCCATGATAGGTTTGCCTTAGGGTCACCATAAGGTGGAAACAACTTGAAAGCACACAACAACAACAACAAGCAACACGGATATGTAATGTGCATGCACAATGCGTGTCCATGCATCACATGGACAAATGTCCATCTGTAACACACTTGTGCATCCCTGTACGTTACGCAACTATGCACCAGGGTGCACCATTCATATGCCTCAGCCTTGTCCACATGGAAGAAAAATATTCAACTTTTTCCATGCATGTGCATCCAACACCAACTAGATTTTGACCCTATATTCCCGAAATCTCATGATCTGATATCGGCTGAATGTTGCCCAATAGTTGCCCATCTTTGTTCAGTGTGCAACCTCCCCTTGAAAAACTGGAAAGTTTGCAACTCATATGACAAATTTATTCAGCAACCACCTGTATCTCAAATGCTTTGGAAAGAGAAAAAAACACAGCCCACAATGATATCAGGTCAGATGCATTTCTATTTCCGACATAGATATGGGATATCCTTTTCTAGGATATGGGCAAAGCTATGATGACTAAAATCACATTTAGCTCCGGGAAGGCTGTCGTTTGGATGATATTTGTTCTGAAATGGGCCATGATGGAAATATTCTGGGAGATACGGCGATGAGGTAAGGCTGCAGGCATTCTTGTTACGCTAGTCCAAATGGTTTATTTTGCAAGATAATAATAATATTTGGATGGCATTTTAAAATAGATGGTGGTTCTGTTTATTAATCTGGCTGTTTGTTTTTCATTTTGGGGGTTATTATGTACTTATCACACGTCCGTGCTTGCTGCTGTGTGTTTTATATAATAACCTGGGAAGGCGGTTAAATTTTGCTAGGTTTTGTAGGAAAATTCCTTTGGTTAAATATGCACGCACGGATGCTGTTTTTCCTGGTCCTGAAGCTTGGTATCAGACTCCACTTTGGGGTGAAATAAATTCATTATCTATGGTTAATCTTTCCCAGCAAATGAATTGCAATATCAAAGATGAGCGAGAATCCACATCACTAAGAGAGGGTCCATTCCTTGGGTGGGAAATGCAGCCATTCAGTTTTAGATCCAGTTGATCAAGCCCATCACAACAGAAGCAATTTCCATTTAAGACACACACACACATACACACACCACAATTCAAACCACTGAACCTCTCAGCTGTAAGATCTGTTTTGAGAGTGGAATAGATTGCTTTAGAGGGTGGCGGAGTCTCCATCTTTGGAAGTCCTTCAACAGAGGTTGGATGGACATCTTTCAGGAGTCCTTTAGGTGCATCTATTCCTTCATGGTTGGTGCTTGGACTAGGTGACTCTTGGCGTCTCTTCCAGATTGTATGATTCTACGGCTAACATCGCAGAATCCTAGAGTTGGAAGAGAGCCCAAGGGCCAAGCAGTCCAACCCCATTGTGTCATGTAAGAAAACAATCCAAGCCCTCCTGATGGATGGCCATCCAGCCTCTGTTTAAAAATCTCCAAAGAGGAGACTCCACCAGTCTCCAAGGGAGCATCTTCCATTGTCAAACATCTCTTACCATCTGGAAGTTCTTCCTAATGTTGAGGAGGAATCTCTTTTCCTGCAGCTTGAATCCATTGCTCCATTGAGTCCTAGTCTCTGGAGCAGCAAGTTTGCTCCATCCTCAACATGACATCCCTTCAAATATTTAAAGACGACTATCATGTCACCCTTTAAACCAGCTCTTACCATCAAGAAGTTCTTCCTAATGTTTAGGTGGAATCTCTTTCCCTCTAGTTTGAATCCATTGAGTTTAATCATGATTAAGTCCTGATCTTTAAGTTCTTCCTAATGTTTAGGTGGAATATTTCCCCCCATGGTTTGAATCTATTGCTCCGTGTCCTAGTCTCTGGAGCAGCAGAAAACAAGCTTGCTCCATCCTCAACATGACATCCCTTTAAATATTTAAACAGGGCTATCATGTCCCCTCTTAACCTTCTCTTCTCCAGGCTAAACAGACCCAGCTCCTTAAGTTGCTCCTCAGAGGGCTTGATGGTTTCCAGGTCTTCCACCATTTTGGTCACCCTCCCCAGGACATGCTCCAGCATGTCCACATCTTTCTTGAATTGTGGTGTCCAGAACTGACCAAAGCAGAATAGAGTGGTGCTATGACTTTCCTCGATTTCGGACACTAGACCTCCGTTGATGCAGGCGAGAATTGCATTTTTTAGCCACAACATGGGAACTTCTGATGTTCTTTGGATGCTTCTGATGCACTTGTGGTACACATCAGGCACTTCTGATGTCCATCATTTCCTCCGGTTGTGCTCTGGCCTCTCCTAGGTGGTGGTACTCCAATGCACATCAATGCCCATCCCCTAGGTCAGTGTTTCCCAAACTTTGGTCTTCCAGGTGTTTTGGACTTCAACTGTCAGGAATCCTAGCCAGTTTGGCTGACAATCAGGAATTCTGGGAGCTGAAGTCCCAAACATCCAGAGGACCAACGTTTGGGAACCATTTGCCCTAGGTGAATAGATACGCTGTGAAACTCCTCTCAGTCCTATTTCCTGGACACATGAGTCGACTCATGAAACCATCGATCCCATGCTGAATTCCAGCCCTTGAATCATAGCATCATAGAGTTGGAAGGGACCCCAAAAGCCATATAGTCCAATCCTTTGCCATGCAAGAATTCACAATCAAAGCATGCCTGAGAGATGCCCAAGATGTCAAGGAGCTGTCCAGTCTCTTTTTGGAGACATTTGGAGAAAAAGACCACACCAGAGAGAGAGAGAGAAAGAATCCATGTCTGGGCTGTAGCCCTCCAGATGTTGTGAACGGTCACTTCCATCATCCCTCACCATTGGCTATCTTTATTTATTAATTTGTTATTGTTGTTGTTGTGTGCCTTCAAGCCTTTTCTGACTTATGGCAACCCTATCATGGAGGTTCCTTGGCATATTTCTTCAAAGGAGGTTTGCCATGGCCATCCTTTGAGGCTGGGAGAGTGCGACTTGCCCAAGGCCATCCAATTAGTTTCCATGGCTGAGTTGAGATTCGAACCCTGGTCTCTAGAGTCCTGGTCCAACGCTCAAACCATTACACCACGCCGACTTCCAGACTTCAACGTTTCCATAGCACAGGATTCAAGGTTGGAGACCTTCATAGAGCATCACAAAGAAGACTCCTCTCCCTTCCAAGGCCTTTGAAGAAGTATTCAGCCCAATCCTTGGCTGGGGATGATGGGTGTTGCAGTGGAGGGCCACCCAACTGGAGGCAAACGTTGCAGGAAGGATTTTGATCTGGACTTTTAAGAGAAGTCGCAGCCCTTTCGAACAATGGAAAGCTGGATCTATCAGCAAATACGCAAATCGGAAGGTCTCTTAGCAATGGGAAATATCACTTCTTCTATCTCCTTAAATGCAAAGGTTCCTGTATCATAGAGGCAGTATTTTATGAATTGCCCGTGTTTTTCATCTGCAGGATTTCCCCCCTTTTTTTCCTCCCCTTTTTCCCTCTTTAATTCTTTTCTTTTTCTTCCTCTTCTTGCCAGTGTTGTCATCAACAGGGATCGCTGGCAAGAGGGCAGGGTAATTGCTACGAGAAAAGTTCAGTGTTTGAAGATGGTTTGATTAGGGAACTGTACAAATTCAATTTCTCCCAACCAGATTCAATTCTAATCTAATCTAAAGAGAGGAAAACGCCGGTGTAATCATGACCAAGAAGAAAGAACGAAAGAAAAGAAAAAAGGAAAGAAAGAAAGAAAGAAAAAAAAAATAAAAGGACGACAAGAGCAGACTATTTAAATGTTGTGGGTTTTTTGCCCCTCTTCTCCATTGCACAAGAGAAAAAAAAATGCTGGTTTTGCATTTGGAGACATAAGGATCTCAGTCTCATAGTGGTCTCTGTGCAGAGTTGTTGTCGTTGTTGTTGTGTGCCTTCGAGTCATTCTCGACTTATGGCGAACCTATCCTATGGTTTTTCTAGCAAGGTTTGTTCAGAGGAGGCTTGCCATTGCCTGCCCCTGAGGCTGAGAGAGTGTGACTTGCCCATGGTCACCCAGTGGGTTTCATGGCTGAGTGGAGATTGTTGCCGTCGTATGCCTTCAAGTTGTTTCTGACTTATGGCGACCCTAATGGGGACCTATTCTGTATTTAAAAATTAAGCCTGTGTTTACTTTCCCTGGACCGATGACCAAACAAAGCATGCAAGATACGTCAGTGAGGCGAAGCATGTGCTGCAACAGACTTCTTTCACCACTAGAAGGTGCAACTCTAGAAAGAACATACTAAACATATCATCTAGACTGAGCCTGCATAACACTGTTTTCCGATCCGATTTCTTCCGATATTGAAGAAATATCCATGCAAACAGTGCAGGAATGTGCAGTTGTTCCTTCTTCTCCTTCTCAAACCATCAGCAATGGCATCTGGTAGTTGGACGCCGACATGGGATGCTCCATGGGACCTATACACACGAAAGCTGTTTGCCAGAAACGGCCGAGCCCCATCCTCATTTGCATATTGATTTCTCCTTTTAGTAATTATCTGCAAAAAGTCAAATATTTGCTTTATCTTATAATTCAATTTTCAGCCGTGCCTCTGGGATTCAAATTAACTCTCTTGTAATATCTTCATTGAGAAAGAAGATTAATTATGCTTACAAGGAACCTAATTTAACTTATCAGACCTTTAATGTTTTCAGGGATCAGTAATGCATTTAAAATTTAGGATTAGAAGGGCGATCGGGTTCCATTAGCTTGGCTACTTTAATATTTCCCATTATTTTTTATGCAATGAGGGGGGGAATCCTTTGCCCGCCATCTCCCAAAACCTCCTGCAATTCTCCTCCAAGAAAAAGAAAAAAATTAAAATATCAATTATGAAGATAATAAACATTATATATTGACATTAGTTATTATTATGCGTCTGGTGTTTTAAAGAGTGCATTAAAAGGCCTTGGTGGATATTGCAAAAAAATTAAAATAAAATCAGAATTATTAATAATGCATGAGGTTGAACTGACTCTTTCAGAAGCCTGTCCTTCTTGCCCAGCTCTCCAGATGTTGTTGGACTGGAAATCCCAGCATCCCTAGCAATCATAATGCAAAATGTGGAATTTTAAAAGTGGATGTCCAGCAACATTTAGAGGGTTCCTTGATTCCCAGCGTAAAATGTCCATTGTATAATTGCAACAAAGCCCTCAATGAATCACTTACTGTAGGGGAAACTTGAATGTCCGACCTTCCAACATTTCAAAGATGACAACCAAGACCTGAGGCCAAGCAACACCAGAAAGTGGTCAAGATGGCGAAAGTTATTAATAAGGAAGAACACATAAGCTAGGAGAGGCTGCAGCAGTTTGCTTTTGCCTGAGCCTACTGGGAAGGGAGACACTTTGCTTCCGCCCATTGAGTTAACTGAGTGCAAACTTAAACTCAGTTTGCAGCAATTGAAACAAGCTGAGGACAAACAGAGAGGAAGAGGGAGAAACTGAACCTCCATCAGTCTGCTTTAACATCTGTGTTACCTGCATCTCTGCATCTATAGATATGTGCCAGAACTCCTATTCTGGAATTCCAAAATTCCTCAGCTGAATTGAGTGAAATTAAACTAATTTGATATATGAACTCGCTTTGCAGCAATGGAAGTAAGCTGAGGACAAAAGAGGAGGAGAGAGAAAGCAGGACTTTTTAAAAGCAGCAGAGAAAGTGGGATGGCAGAGGATGAAACGGGATTGTCCTTGACATATTGGGGCAGTTGAAGGGTATGAGATGTTTGTGTGAGGCTCTTTCACACTATGTAGCTGTAGAGTGATGATTCCGCTTTAAATTCCCATCTTGAAGGCACGCAACAACCTTCATGGTAGACGTTCCACCACAACAGAGGGGCGGGGTATAAAATTATTATTATTATTATTATTATTATTATTATTATTATTATTATTATTATTATTATTATTATTATTATTATTATTATTACAAGGCCTCCTGATCAGGGATGATGCTTCCAAGGTTGCGAACCTCACCGCAGCATTTTTGACGCATCCTGCGGTCAGGCCAGGGTCACTTCTTCTTCCAGGTTGCAACGTTTGCTGACTCGACAGCCAGGCCAAATGATGTGCCATGTGCAATCCTCTCATTAGCTTCCTTTCTTCCTCCCCAATTCTCTGCTCTGCCTCTTCAGAATGCCACCCCATCGAAAATAGGACCACCGATGGTTTCGGCATGCGGGAGATTCAAGGAAAATGACAAGTCAGGAGCAGCAGATGGGAAACGGAGAGCACCTGGTGGACACACTCTGTTCTTCTAAAAGGGGCTCATTAGCATCATGCATTCGCTGCCAGGAAAGCTGAGATGTACAAAGTTATGGATAACGTTGTGCTAACATAGATCTGGAAAGGGCAACCAAAGGAGCATCTTCCTTCGCAGGTATGTACCAATTAAAGCACATCCAAGAAAATCAGTTCCCTATCTCTTCTTACTTGCTCACCGAATAACAGCATAGACCTGATCAAACCCTGGCTTCACTGATAAGAAAACTCTCAAAAATATTCTTGTACCACCTTTGAGACTAAGGGCATTAGCATACAACAATATATAGCACAAACTGTTAAACCAAGGCTGTCCAAGGAGATGGAAACTTATTGTAAGATTGAGTGATATCGCTCACTTGCAAAAGTACTGTAGTAAAAGCATCGCAATAACGCTTTCTCGAATTATTGCACAACTTACCCTAGCGCTGCCCAAACCCTTCTGCATCGTTGCACAGACACAGGTTAAATGGTTTTCTCATTTTGCAAGGGGAAGGATGGGAAAATACACCCACTGGCTTTGCGCAATGATGGCGACATCGATGTTGCGGAGAATTGAATTACCGCACCCTTGAAAAATGGTTGACAAGAAGTGGCATCATGGCAATTCACATTTTCATGCCATGAATGGAGCGTGGCATATCGATAACACAAGTCCGGTGATACGGTCACAAGAGAAACACGCCCATTGTGCGATAGAAATAAAGTCATAATGGAATTGGCACAGTTTGTTCATGCTCTCCATCATGGTGTGATGAAGTCCTAACTGCAAGAAAGAAGTTGGTAGCATGAGCCTTCGTAGATGTCAGCCTACTTCCCCTACTTCCCTATCTCTTATTACTTAGTCACCGAATAACAGCATAGACAGGATCAAATTGAGGATAACTCCCAAAATATTCTTGTAGCACCTTTGAGACTAACTGAAAGAAAGAAGTTGGTAGCATGAGCTTTTGTAGACGTCAGCCTACTTCCTCAGACACACATAAGCATCTGAATTCTACCTCCAAAAATATTATACATGCCCACCTATGGTCCTCAAGTACAGCCATGCCAACCAAGAGGCACACTATGGACTTGACACCATTAATTCGGACTAAAAGCTGCCAATCTGAGCATGAAGACTGTATCTCCACTCCATAATTAAATAAGACACCCCACCTTTCCAATGACAACAACAAAAAAACCCCCTAACCTTCGAGTAAATGTGCCCCCAACAAAAAACATCCTGAATTTTCTAAGTTTTGTGCTCTCTGTAGTGTGAAAGTGTCCCAGGTCCTTTGTTCAGGTTGGCCATTGTGGAAGCGGTGGTGGAAGAAAGAATATTTTTCTTCCTAAGACTTGGTTTGTTCTTTCAACGATGACATACATAAATATACAGGGTTGGGTCCCAATGGGTCTGGAGACCCATTGACTCATTGGGTTGACCATTGAGTCAACAGGCCCATTCTGGTTGGGAGTAAACAACAAGAGTTTGGCCATTATATGACTTAGAAACCAGTGATTCCCAAACTTTGGTCCTCCAGGATTTCAACTCCCAGCTAACTTGGCCAACAGACAGGAATTTTGGGACTGAAATCCAGAACATCTGGAGAACCAAAGTTTGGGAATCACTGATTTATAAGTCATATAATGGCCAAAATCTTGTTAGCTAGCCCCAGCCAGAATGGGCCTATTGACTCAATGGTCAACACATTGAGTCAATGGGTCTACCGCCATTGGGATTTAAGCCTATAAATCGATCTATGTATCCTACATACATAGTACCCTACAATTCCAGGACAATGTCCCACATTCCGGCCTTC